CTGATGTTGACTATAGTGCTGCTGGATCTGTTTACTTGCCTGTACCTAGCGTAGGATCTTTGCCTGTTGCTAGAGTAGGTGCTGGTGTAGGATCCTGTCTAGCTACTAGTACAGGTGCTCCCTCGGCGGACGCGTCGCTCTCCTTCACACTGGACTCCGGAGCGACGCAGTGCTTCTTCCGCGACAGCACGACTCTTACTCCACTCTCGGCGCCGGTTCCTGTAGCACTGGCCGATCCCTCTTCGGGACCGGTCATTGCGACTCACGCCACTACCCTCCCGTGCCCAGCTGCCCCTTCCGGTTCTCTGACCGGCCTCCACGTTCCTACTTTCTCTAGGAACCTGGTTGGTGTGGCTCCTCTGGCGAGACAGCACGTCGGGGTCTGGTTTGAGCCTTCTGGTGACACTGCAGTCTGTGTGGACGGTGACACGTACGCCCCTCTGGCCACTTTTCGTCAGGAGTCGGGCTCTGGTCTGTACACCCTCCACACCGACACCCGTCCGGTTCCCCCGTCCCACCAGGTAGCCAGGTCCAGTCAGGTAGCTGTGCCAGGTCTAGTGGCTGCGTCGTGCTCGTGTCGGTCGCTGTCCCACCCTGTCCTCCTCTGGCACCACCGCCTTGGTCACCCGTCCCTCTCTCGTCTCCGCGCTATGTCCAGTCAGCGTCTTGTCTTAGGCCTCCCCCGCGACCTCCCGCCGCTCCCGTTGTCCCCCGCTCCTCCGTGCGGTCCTTGTGTCCAGGGTCGGCTGCGCGCCACTCCTCACTCCTCCTCCCTTCGTCCAGCCTCCGAGCCCTTTGAGACACTCCACTTAGACGTCTGGGGCCCCGCTTCCCGGCTTGGCCCTGAGCGAGAGAGCTTCTTTCTAGTGGTCGTTGACGACTACTCTCGGTACACCACCGTGTTCCCTTTGGCGAAGAAGTCCGACGTGACTTCTACGCTGATCCGGTGGCTGCTCGCCACCGAGAGTACTCGTCGTCGTCGTGTCAGTTGTCTCCACTCCGACCGTGGGGGTGAGTTTCGCTCCGGCGTTCTCGCCAGATTCTGTGCTGAGCAGGGCATCACCCAGTCCTGGACTCTTCCAGACTCTCCACAGCAGAATGGGGTTGCTGAGCGCCGGCTAGGCCTGGTCATGGAGATTGCCCGCACCTCCATGATCCACGCCCGCGCGCCCCATTTTCTGTGGCCCTACGCGGCTCGGTACGCCGCTCACCAGCTGAACCTCTGGCCTCGCGTCTCTCGGCCAGGGGCTTCACCGACCAGTCTTTGGACAGGGTCCCCTGGTGTTGCGTCGAGGTTTAGTGTCTGGGGCTGCTTGGCGCTTGTCCGCGACACCTCTGCGGACAAGCTCTCACCTCGCGGCATCCCCTTGTTTCTTCCTTGGTTTCCCTGAGGCCTCCTCTGACTTCACCTTTTACCACCCTCCCTCCCACCGGTTCTTTGACTCTCGTGACGTCCGTTTCGACGAGTCCGTCCCCTACTACGTCCGGTACCCCTGTCGAGGTCTCCCGGTTCCCCCCCCCCCCCCCTCTTCCTGGCTCCACCTCCTCCTCCTCCCGCCCCTGCTCCTCCGGTACCCCCCCCTGGTCCTGCTCCGTCTGGTGTGTCCCACGCTACTCCCCCCCCCTCGGTACCCCCCCAGGTCTCTCCTCCTTCCCCACAGTCGTCCTCACAGCCTCCGCAGCAGCCGTCAGCGCTTCCTTTACCGGCCACTGCGGACTCTGAGGGTGTTGGTGCTCGGGGTGAGGGCTCTGGCGGTGCTCGCTCTGGGGGTGCTGGCGTTGGAGCTGTTAGTGCACCTACAGGAGCCGCCCGTTCTGGGGGTGTTGGCGTTGGCGCTGAGCGTGCACCCGCCGCGGCTGCCCGTTCTGGTGGTGCTGGAGCTGGTGGTGTTTCTGGAGCTGGAGAGTCTGAGGCTGGTGCTGGTGCCACTGGAGGCACCCCGACTGGGGGTGCGGGTCCACCTCCTACAGGTACTAGTCGTGCTGCCGCAGGGGGTACACGCTCTGGGGGTTCTCAGCCGGGTGCTGTTGAGGGTGGAGCCGGTTCTTCTTCTTCGTCTCCTGACACCACTCCTCCTCCTCACCCCTACCTGACTCGACACCAGACCCGTCTTCGTCTTGAGCGTGAGGAGCAGCAGCGTTTGGAGCGTGAGAGGTTGGAGGTTCAGCAGCGGGTGGAGCGTGAGAGGCTGGAGTTGCAGCGGGAGCAGCAGCAGCAGCAGCAGCAGCAGCAGCAGCAGCAGCAGCAGCAGCAGCAACAGCAGCAGCAGCCGCCGCAGCAGCAGCAGCAGCAGCCGCCGCAGCAGCCGGAGCAGCCTCCGGCCTCTGTTACTGGCCTTCGGGCCCTTGGTCTCCCCTCCTCCTCTCCTCCTGTGTTCGGTCCGACGTTTCCTCCTCCGGACTCAGCTCCGGCTGTGTTCCCTCGTTCTCAGTCTCCTCCGTCTCCCGCTCCGTCTCCCACTCCTCTCTCCCACACTTGGGCCTCTCGTCCTCCTCGTGCTCGTCCCTCGTCACCTGTCCGTGACCTTCGTACCGTGTTGTTTCGTCCTAGTCCTCCTCGTTCTCCTCCGTCTGTTCTTCCTCGTCCTCCTGAGTCGTCCCTCACTGCCTCCCTGTCTACTCCGGTCACTGACTACTACCGCACGTACCGCCCCACTCTCTCTCGTGTTCTCGCCTCTCTTGTTACAGACCCTCGTGCCTCTCCTTCCTCCGTCGCGGTCCTCACTGCCGCTGTCACAGACTTTACTGCTACGCGTCGCCTTGACTACGCCACTCGCGTTGTGGCGGCTCCTCCTGTCCGTCCTCTGTCCGCCGGGGGTGAGTTTGCCCTTGGCTGTGCCGTCCTAGAGGATAGACAGTTTGAGCTAGAGTTCCTGGCAGCCGCTTCACCTCATCTCTGTGCCATGCTGCTCGCTCCTGAGGGAGACCCCGACGCTCCTGACATACCTACTCCTCGCACTTACGCTGAGGCAGTGTCAGGGCCTTGGGCCTCTCAGTGGAGAGCTGCCATGGACGCAGAGATGGCCTCCTACAGGTCCACAGGCACTTACGTTGACGAGGTTCCCCCCCCAGGGGCGAACATTGTTGACGGCATGTGGATCTTCAAGGTGAAGCGGCCGCCGGGATCTCCTCCAGTCTTCAAGGCACGCTACGTGGCTAGAGGTTTCAGTCAGCGTGAGGGAGTTGACTTCTTTCAGACCTTTGCGCCCACCCCGAAGATGACCACTCTTCGGGTGTTACTGCACGTAGCAGCGCAGAGAGACTACGAGCTACACTCTCTCGACTTCTCCACTGCCTTCTTGCAGGGCAGCCTACACGAGGAGATCTGGCTGCGTCGTCCTCCGGGCTTCACTGGCACTTTCCCGCCTGGGACCCAGTGGAGCCTCAGACGACCGGTCTACGGTCTCCGCCAGGCACCCCGTGAGTGGCACGACACTCTCCGCTCTACTCTGTCCGACCTTGGGTTTGAGCCGTCTTCCGCCGACCCGTCGCTGTTTGTTCGTCGTGGGCGCACACCTTTCTTTGTTCTTGTCTACGTTGACGACCTGGTTTTTGCCACAGCCGACACAGTTGCACTGGCGGAGGTGAAGTCCGAACTGCAGAAGAGACACACCTGCACTGACCTTGGTGAACTGCGCCACTACCTTGGCCTGCAGATCTCTAGGGACAGAGCCGCTCGCACCATCACTCTGACTCAGTCACACTTGGTGCAGCAGGTCCTTCAGCGGTTCGGGCTTCAGCACTCCTCTCCTCCTCCCACCCCTCTTGCTGTAGACCACAGACTCACTGGGCCTTTTCCTGACGAGCCGTTCGAGCCCAGTGGTCCCTACGCAGAGTTGGTGGGCTGCCTCATGTACCTGATGACGTGCACTCGCCCGGACCTCGCCTTCCCTCTTAGCATCCTTTCTCGCTTTGTTGCGACAGGGAGACACCGTCCTGTTCACTGGGCGGCGGCTAAGAGGGTGGCGAAGTACCTCGGCGCGACATCAGACATGGGGCTTGTACTTGGAGGGACACAGCCAGTTGTACTCACCGGTCACTGCGACTCCTCCTACGCCGACGACGTTGAGTCACAGAGGTCTACACAGGGTTACTGTTTCAGCCTGGGCTCTGGAGCTGTTTCGTGGAGGTCTACTCGGTCCTCCTCTGTTGCGACTTCTACCGCAGAGGCCGAGATCTACGCTGGAGCCCTCGCTGCACAGGAGCTACGCTGGTTGACCTTCTTGCTCACTGACCTTGGTGAGCGGCCGAGCTCTGCACCGACCTTGTTTGCTGACAACAAGGCGATGATTCTCCTGTGTCGTGAGCCTCGACTGGAGAGCAGAGTGAAGCACATCGACGTCAGGTACTTCCTCCTTCGAGAGTTGCAGAGACGCGGGCAGGCTCGTCTGGAGTTTGTGGCCTCCGAGGCCAACACTGCAGACATCTTCACCAAGGCCCTCCAGCCTTGTGACCACCGCCGGTTTTGTCTGCAGTTAGGCCTCGTTGAGACTGGGTCTAGTTGACTGCTGTAGGGTGCTCTTTGTCTGTTGCTTGCTTGTACCTTATATATATTTGTTTGCACACTTTTGGACTGGCCTTGTGGCCCTTTGCTTGTGCTCAGATTAGGTGGTGACGTTGTGATCCACCCTGAGCTTTGTTTTCTTTCTCTTGCTTTTGACTGGTCTTGTGACCGTAGGTTGCTTGTTGTTGATTGGCCTTCCCCACTTAGGCTATGGGGGTGTGTCAAATATTATAGCCTGTAGTGGGTTGGGCTATAGGGCCTTTACTCTCCCTTAACTCTCCCTTTACTCTCCCCCCGCCAGCAGCTGCATCGTCTACTCTCTTACTGTATGAGCTTGCGACATAACTTAGAGCCATGCAATGCAAGGTTACCATACGAGGCCAGGGCATGTAAGGCGGGGCGTGCACGACGGACCTCCTGCCTCTCACGCACCAGCAGCTAGACCTCCTCTCTCTACTGCAGCTGAACCATAAGTTAGACCCACAGAGCAAGCCAATCAAGGCCAGGGGTGGATGAAGAACCCCTTAGCCCTCAAATCCACCAGCAGTTGTGTCGCCTGCTCCCTCGTGTGGTTGAAGGGGCGCCAGCCGAAACCCAGCACGGAGGGGTGTGAGTAGTGCACCTCGACGAATATCTCGTCCACTATGTGTGGCATGTCGGGGTCTTGCAGCCAATCTGTGAGGTTGGGAAGGGGTGGGGTGGTTATATGGAGGGGAACAGGAAAGGGGAAAGGTTGAAAGCCCAGCACAGAGGGGTGTGAGTAATGCATCTCCACGAATATCTCGTCCACTATCTGTGGCATCTCCGGGTCTTGCAAACAATCTGATGGAGGGTGGAGGGGATGAGCCGGCACAGGGGGTCGCATGAGGGATGCGAGAGCACGGAAGCATGCGAGTAATGCACCTCAACGAATATCTTATCCACTATCTGTGGCATTACTGGGTCTTGCATCCAATCTGCGAGGGGGTTGATAGGGAGTGAGGCAATGAAGAGAGAGGCCATATCGATGAGTGTCTGCTGTGCAGTGGCCCGGAGAAAATATCTCATCCACTACTGCTGCCATGTCCGGGTCGTTCACCCATGCTGGGAGGCTGGGAAAGGGGCAAGGGCGGGGTTTATGCAGGGGGTTTTGAGTCAACTTAGACGCCCGGCCCGGAGGGGTGTGAACAGTGCTCCTCCACAAATACCTCGTCAAATGTCTGTGCCATTTCCGAATTGTTCATGCAATCTGTGGGTGAATAGAAACACGCTAACCCTGTATACCCATCTTCACCACCAGGGTGTGGGACAAATACAAGGCACGCGGAGCAGACAACAAGGGAACATCTGAAATTCACAGCCAGCACATGGGAACTCACCCGGCAGCACGTCCCACTCCTTGCCCTCTATGTCCAACTTCACCACTAGCGTGTCTCCTGCTGTGAGCCGCAGCACGTCCTTTATGAACCGCGTGATGTTCACATGCTTCTGCACACGTTGGAAGAGGGGATGGGTGACGAGGACACAGTAAGAGGGGTGTGTGAGGTCACAGCGTGCCAGTGTGTCTCCTGCTGTGAGCCGCAGCACGTCCTTTATGAACCGCGTGATGTTCACATGCTTCTGCACACGTGGTGTGGGGATGGGAGCGACACACAACCACCCAGAGACAGACGTCAGATAGGCAGAGTGAAAGGGGTGCAGGAGGACAGACAGGCGTCACAGCGCCGCGCCACCAGCGCTGATGTGCGGTGATATTTGAGACGCCTCAAAAATCGGCGTCACAGCGCCACCAGCGTGTCGTGTCCCTTGATGTGCGCCTGCTGCGAGCCTGCTGATGAACCGCATGATGTTCACGTGCTTCTGCAGACGTGGAGAGAGGCAGGGGATGGGAGAGTGAGAAAGAGGGATGCCACAATGTGCCAGAGCAGCACAAGAGTGTCCCCTTCTGTGACTTTGAGCACGTGCTGCTGCACGTCCTTGACGAACCGAGTGATGTTCACATGCTGCTGCAGTGGTGGGTAGAGGGAATGGGTGACATAACGACACAGTGAGAGGGTGTGTGAGGCCACAGCCTGTCGCATCACCGCCAGCGTGTCTCCTGCTGTGGTTTGCAGCACCTGGGTGGAGAGGCAAGGGATGGGAGTGACACACGCATGCCATGCGAGCAGTGAAAGGGAGAGAGGTGCACAAGGCCACAGCACTTCAACACCTCACTGTGCCCTGCTGTGTGCCCTGCTGTGAGCCGCAGCACGTCTTTTATGAAGATGGTGATGTTCACATGCTGCTGTATACGTTGTATGGGATAACACACAGACACACACGCAGACACACAAACGCACGGATAGGCAGAGTGAGAGGGGAGGGCGAGGCCACAGTGTGCCACTGCACCACAGTGCGAGGCCACAGTGTGCCACTGCACCACAGTGCGAGGCCACAGTGTGCCACTGCACCACAGTGCGAGGCCACAGTGTGCCACTGCACCACAGTGCGAGGCCACAGTGTGCCACTGCACCACAGTGCGAGGCCACAGTGTGCCACTGCACCACAGTGCGAGGCCACAGTGTGCCACTGCACCACAGTGCGAGGCCACAGTGTGCCACTGCACCACCAGTGTGTTCGTTGCTGCGAGTCAGGAGACGTACTTGATCAATCAAGTGATGCTCACAATATTCTGCAGGATGGGAGGGACACAAACACACACGCACACATACACCACCAGTGTCTGAGTATCACTGGTTGCTCCTGCCATGGACACTGTCCCTGGTATACTCGTTACAAGCACACCTGTCAGACTCACATAATGATCCGTAATTAAACAAACTCGGCATGCATATGGATCCGATAGACCAAGTTGGGCACCGGGAGAGGCTCGTCCCCCTGCCAGAACACATGACATCCCTGGGTTCGCATTATACTCATTACAGGCAGACTCGTTATACCACTCACATGGTAGTCTGTGTTGTTGACAAAGTCGTTATACACATGGATTCTGTCTGCCATCCAGTTGGGCACCGGGGGAGGCTTTACAGCATCCACACATACTCGTTATAAGCACACAGGTCACACTCACATGGTAATCCGTGTTGTCTACAAAGTCGGTATAAACATGGATTCTGTCAGCCATCCAGTTGGGCACTGGAGGAGGCTCGTCCCCCCGCCAGAACACCGACACCTTCTCAAGGCGCTTTCTTGGTTGAATCTCGGGGTATTGGGCCTGCAGGAGAGACGAGGAGGGGCGAGGAGAGGCGAGGAGAGGCGAGGAGAGGCGAGGAGAGGCGAGGAGAGGCGAGGAGAGGCGGGAAGTAGGAAATAAAAAACGAATTAGGAAGTCTCGTCCACCCGCCAGAACACCGACACCTTCCTGAACCTCTTCCTGGGTTAACTCTTGGGGTGTTGGGCCTGACGGGTGAAATGGGTGATGAAAGAGGCGGGGGGGAGAGAACAGGGGCACTTGGCTTGACTCGCCTTCATGCACAAGCATTGAACAGGGGCTTCTTGAGCCTCGTATTGGGCCTGAGGGGATGGCCTAGGAGCAGGGATTAGGGGATGGCCTAGGAGCAGGGATTAGGGGATGGCCTAGGAGCAGGGATTAGGGGATGGCCTAGGAGCAGGGATTAGGGGATGGCCTAGGAGCAGGGATTAGGGGATGGCCTAGGAGCAGGGATTAGGGGATGGCCTAGGAGCAGGGATTAGGGGATGAAAGGGGAGGAGAAGATATGCGAGGGGAAAGGAAAGGAAAAACGCCTCAAAAGGGTGTCACCGAGCCAGAGCACCGACCCCATGCCAGAGCACCGACCCCATGCCAGAGCACCGAGAGTTGGATGAAGGAAGGTGGGGACGGGGGGAGAGAAGAGAGCAGAGAGAAGAGGAGTAAATAATGAAATAAGACAACATCGTTTTTCTCTCGCATCAAAGACTTCTGAGATAACAGTTTTGGTCTTTATGCGGGTGGGTTTTGATCTTGTGTGTGCTGCCCTCCGACCGTGTCCCACCACACTACACCCACTCCCACCCCTCTCACTTCGTCATCCTGCTCCTGCCATGGCGGCAACAGAAAGAACCCCACATTAACTTCAATCACATGCACCTCCGTGAAGTTCAAAGGGCAAATTTTCCCTGAGACCCCATCCCACCGCATTCCACCAGCTTCCACCCCACTCCCGTGCCTCTCACCTCATCGTCCTGCCCCTGCCTCGGCGGCAATAGAAACAGCCCCTTCTTGACTTCAAACACATGCACCTCCGTAAAATTCAGGGAGTACTATTGCCCTCCAACCCCATCCCCACCGCATTCCACCGCACTCTACCCACCTCATCGTCCTGCTTTTGTCTTTCTGGCAGCTGGAAGAGCCCCTTCTTGACTTCAAACACATGCACCTCCGTGAAGTCGAGAGGGTAGTGCCTCAGCATCCACAGCACACTCGAGTTGAACTCCTTCCCGCCCAGGTCTAGGTACACTCGACGCCGTCTGGAAGGGGAGTGATATACGGGGTGGGATGATGGGGAAAAGGAAGGAAGAAGGAAGGAAGAAGGAAGGAATGGGAGGGAAGCAGCAGAGGAGGGGGTAGTGCCTTGGCATCCGCAGCTCGCTCGAGTTAAGCTCCTTTCCTCCCAGGTCTAGGTATACCCTACGGCGCCTGAATGGGGAGAGGTCTAGTGAGGGGGAGAGGGTAATGGAGCAGGGGGGGAGGGTAATGGAGCAAGGGGAGAGGGTATAGTGGAGGGCAGAACGTCCCAATTAGTGCTCAGCGCCCGACCTTACCCATACACATGCGTCACATCTTCTCCCCCCACCTTATCCCCCCACCTTCTCCCCCCACCTTCTCCCCCCACCTTCTCCCCCCACCTTCTCCCCCCACCTTCTCCCCCCACCTTCTCCCCCCACCTTCTCCCCCCCACCTTCTCCCCCCACCTTCTCCCCCCACCTTCTCCCCCCACCTTCTCCCCCCACCTTCTCCCCCCACCTTCTCCCCCCACCTTCTCCCCCCACCTTCTCCCCCCACCTTCTCCCCCCACCTTCTCCCCCCACCTTCTCCCCCCACCTTCTCCCCCCACCTTCTCCCCCCACCTTCTCCCCCCACCTTCTCCCCCCACCTTCTCCCCCCACCTTCTCCCCCCACCTTCTCCCCCCACCTTCTCCCCCCACCTTCTCCCCCCACCTTCTCCCCCACCTTCTCCCCCCACCTTCTCCCCCCACCTTCTCCCCCCACCTTCTCCCCCCACCTTCTCCCCCCCCTTCTCCCCCACCTTCTCCCCCCACCTTCTCCCCCCACCTTCTCCCCCCCCTTCTCCCCCCACCTTCTCCCCCCACCTTCTCCCCCCACCTTCTCCCCCCACCTTCTCCCCCCACCTTCTCCCCCCACCTTCTCCCCCCACCTTCTCCCCCCACCTTCTCCCCCCACCTTCTCCCCCCACCTTCTCCCCCCACCTTCTCCCCCCACCTTCTCCCCCCACCTTCTCCCCCCACCTTCTCCCCCCACCTTCTCCCCCCACCTTCTCCCCCCACCTTCTCCCCCCACCTTCTCCCCCCACCTTCTCCCCCCACCTTCTCCCCCCACCTTCTCCCCCCACCTTCTCCCCCCACCTTCTCCCCCCACCTTCTCCCCCCACCTTCTCCCCCCACCTTCTCCCCCCACCTTCTCCCCCCACCTTCTCCCCCCACCTTCTCCCCCCACCTTCTCCCCCCACCTTCTCCGCATGGCAGCATCGTGCAGGGCTCTCAAGTATGCCAGCATGAGAAGGCGGTCCTCTGCGCCCCCTGTGTGCCTCACAGCATAACCGCAACCTCCCCTACTACCTGATAAGAGTAAATTTTTAAAACGTCTCAAAAGATCAACCTCCCCTACTACCCCTCCTACAGCACCATGTCTCGCTCTCTCTCACCGTCTCCCCATGGCAGGGTCTTGCAGCGCTCTGAAATACGGCAGCACGTGCAGGCGGTCCTCTGCGTCCCCTGTGTGCCGCAATGCATATCCCCGGCGGAAGTTGAGGTACGGCTCCACCTGCTCTATCTGTAGCCCTGCTACTGTGCATGGGGATGGGGGTGGGATGGCCTGTTGGGGGGAGGGGGGACAGGGCGGGGAAGATCAGGGCAGAGCAGGGACGAGGGGAAGTTGAGGTGCGGCTCCAGTTGCTCTATCTGTAGACTTGCTACCGTGCATGGGGATGGGGGTGGTATGGCCTGGAAAGGAGCACAGGGGGGTGCACAGGCGAGAAGGAAGGAGGGGAAAAATTAGCTGCGCTGCTCTATACGCAGCTTATTAGCACCTTACGTATGCCCTGACAATCGCCCCCATCACCGCCCCCTCGCCCCCATCACCGCCCCCTCGCCCCCATCACCGCCCTCACCGCACTCTTCCTCACCTTCATGAGCGCCCAGGAATCCGTGCGCCCCTCCACAGCGTCATGAGCGAGGCAGGGTACCGCTGGCACCTCCATTCAAGCATCATCCACACCTTACAAATACGCTCACAGTCACCCCCGTCACCCCCCTCCCTCACCTTCATGAGCGCCCACGGGTCCGTGCGCCCCTCCACTGCCTCCCACAGGGAGCAGCAAGGCAGGGAGGTACTAGCACCTTCGCTAAGGTCCCGCAATTACCCACCCAGCCCCCCTCCCTCACCTTCATGAGCGCCCACGGGTCCGTGCGCCCCTCCACCGCCTCCCTGAGCGAGGCGGGGTAGCGCTGGCGGTGCCAGCAGGCCGCCTCCGCGGGCGCCTGGACGGGGCCGCGCGGATAAAGCGGGGAGTTGAGCAGCGGGGGGAAGGCTGGCGGGACCAGGGGGGTGGGGGTTGAGGGTTTGGGGGGGAAGCGGGGAAAGAGAGATTTTAGCCGACTCTAAAGGCAGCGGAGAGGGAGGATAGGGGGCGAGGAAGCCGAGGGAGAGGGAACCGCTCAGGCGAAATGACGAGATGACGAGCGTGCGACGGCTGATCCAGATTCCGGAGTACGTTGTTTATGAAGTCCTGCACATCGCGTCTGCACAGATCAGATTCGGCAAGCGCGATCCACGCAGAGCAGGACAGCTAGCGGCACGACATACCTTGCGGCGCAGCAGTACCTTGCAGGCTCGAGTCGCTGTTGACGGAACTGCCGGTGCTTGTATCGGGGTCGCGCGTTTGAAGCAGGAGGATGAAGTTGAGGAGAGTGGAGATGACGGCCCACGCCACGATCAGCACTCGCCTGCTCTTGTGCGGCCTCGCGGAGTCCTGAGCGGCCATGGTGACTTCTGTCCGGTCCTTTTCGGCGCTATGGGCTGCTGTGCGATTCTGTGCGCTACTGTGGGCTACTGTGCGGTGCTGTGTAATGCTGATCCTGGTGTGATGCTGAGAGCTAATCTGCTGCACTATTGCGCTGTTGCCGTTGATCAGAAACGATATCCGCAGTACGACGCATACCTCGCCGCGAACACTGATAAAAACTACGAGCACGCGACACTATGTCGATTTCATAGCCTGCAAAACATGAAGTGAGGTACTACCCACTGCGTCCTATCACTTTCTACTGTGTTGAGTGACTGAGTCGAAAAGGCCTGCTATGACCTATCTACAACGCGTGGGTAACACCTCAGGCTTCTCATTGGGTATTGACGTGCCATATCCGTAAGTTCAAACTGCTGCGATAACTCGGTTCCCGTGGAGACTAAAATTTCCGAAGCCATCATAGTAGTAAGCTGGAACCGAGGCACAGCCCAGAAATTGTCGGAAATGTGCGAACGCACGATACTCCACCGCAACTTTGTAAACCTTTCTCAACCGAGATAGAACGTTTTGCACCTGGATTTTGGTTTTGTATGCCGAACCAGATGCTGTACCAGCCTTCGATGAACCCCCAGCGACGCGACGAACCAAGCAGGCCTGGGAAACCTCATTTGGGAGATGCGGGCGCGGGAAAAAGGCAAAATCCCATTGGCTTGTCAGAGCCCAGTGAACAGGGTAACTCGGCGACTTACTTAACAACATCCACGTCGCAAATATGTCGTCAAACTCTTGACGACTTATTGAAGAATTGTAACATACTGAGGAATTTCGCACTGTTTCAGCATACGTTTGCTTAGGACGCGGCACCTGTTTTCATTTTGCCAGGATCGATCGTAGGAGGGGATCGATGTGCCGCTTATACAGTTTTGGGTTGCGAAGCAGCCTATTACAATCGTTATGTTCAATTTTTTTTTCATCCTCTTTACTTAAAAAAAAAAAAGGATAAGGTAACTAAGTGACTGACTGCCATGTCTTTGCCATGGCAATTTAGTATGCGCCGTACCACATTTCTTCTCATTTCTTGGTTCGCCTTGACCGAACCTATACTCTATGGGTTGCTAAAATGATGTTCCTGTGAACGCGTGACTGTTTATTCCGTAATGCATAAGCCGGATGATGTTACGGTATGCGTAGATGAAGTATAATGATGGATATGGTGAAAAAAATATTTAATGGAAAAATGCATAATTATGTTGCATATACTACTGTGGTAATGAAATGAATGCATATCATGATAAAAATGCGTCACAGTTAATTGACACAGACCCTATGCTACGGCATCCCCTGCCTAGCATGGGGGGGAGCTCAATAGCATAGTTCCTGAGTCATCCAACTGTCACATGAAACAACACAATCTGTGCGAAGTAAAAAAAAGGTCAATTCTATCAAATCCAGTTCAAATGAACACACTCACTGAGTGGGCAAAGAACCTTCTCGGAAATGATAGTTTGATCCAATTTTTTAAAACCCACAGACATGTGTTATTAATGCAATGGAAGCATGAATGAAAACACATACGCACACAACACAATGCAAACACACACGCACATAGACAGATACAAAGACATGCACATGATCACACATATTCACACAAACGAAAAACGCTCAATGCATCAACTGTTAAAAAATAATAATAAAAAACTAAAAGCAGAATTAAACCCTAGCCATATACATATAATCCTACACGGAACCATCTTATCTTTGCTTTGCACCGTCCAAAAAAACCTTCACTTCCTGAAGAAAACAACAAGGGAAAGAATCAACAATAGAAAGAAAGAAAGACAAATATGGAACAATGAGGATAAGGTGCAAAATTGTACAACAGAAACGCAAAGAATCCTAGCAATGACACAATACATTATTGTTAAATTGTAATGTGTTATATGTTGGTAGGCTGTAGTGGGGTAGCTCATATGGGGTACAACCCCAACTAGGGTTTGCTACTTGTACCCAATTCTCCCATTCAATGCACTCATTCTTGCCTAGTTCTCTTAACATGGTATTCAGAGCAGGAGGTCCCTAGGACCTATCGACCGTTTCTTTTAAGGGCCCACCACCGCTCGCATGCGGTTACCACGCTACCCCGTGCCCTAGCCTCGTAGCGCCCTCGTGCGTCCTCGTTAGCGCCCTCGCGCGCCCTCGTTAGCGCCCTCGCGCGCCCTCGTTAGCGCCCTCGCGCGCCCCTCGTTAGCGCCCTCGCGCGCCCTCACTAGCGCCCTCGAAGCGCCCCTCGTTAGCGCCCTCGCGCGCCCCTCGTAGCGTCGCCCGCCCGCCGAGCCGCCCGCTCGCCGCCCGCCCGCCGCGCTGCCTGCTCGCAGCGTCGCCCGCTCGCCCCGCTGCCCGCTTCGCAGCCCGCTCGCCCCGCTGCCCGCTTCGCAGCCCGCCCGCCCGCTCGCTGCCCGCTTCGCGGCCCGCCCGCTTCGCTGCCCGCTCGCAGCGTCGCACGCCCGCCCGCTGCCCGCTTCGCCGCGTCGCCCGCCCGCTTGCTGCCCGCTCGCAGTGTCGCCCGCTCGCCCGCTGCCCGCTCGCAGCGTCGCCCGCCCGCCCGCTGCCCGCTTCGCAGCGTCGCCCGCTCGCTCGCTGCCCGCTCGCAGCGTCGCCCGCCCGCCCGCTGCCCGCTTCGCAGCGTCGCCCTCCCGCCTCGCTGCCCGCTTGCAGCGTCGCCCGCCCGCCCGCTGCCCGCTTGCAGCGTCGCCCGCCCGCCCGCTGCCCGCTTCGCAGCCGCCCGCCGCGCTGCCCGCTCGCCGCGTCGCCCGCCCGCCCCGCTGCCCGCTTCGCAGCCCGCCCGCCGCACTTCCCGCCTGCAGCGCCGCCCGCCTCGCCTGCTGCTCCCTGCCTGTGCACCGCCGCTTGCTCCTGCTGTGGCTGCTAGCTTCGCTCTAGCGCGTCCCCTCTGCTGCTGCCGCTGCTCTGCTGTGCCTTCACGCCTGAGCCATGGCCTCTATTCGCGTTCTTTCCTTCGATGCTGAGGGCCGTCCCGTGCAGTTCACTTCCTGGCTCGACGACCTGCAGTTGTATCTTATGAGCAATAGCACGGACCACATCTCCCTCTATGACTACGCGTCTGGTGCTGCCGCTGCTCCTGCTGCCACAGCCGAGCTTAGTGTACGTTCACAGTGGCAGACTCGTGACGCTGCAGCTCGCCTGGCTATTCGCAGTCACCTGCCGTTAGCTGAGCTAGAGCACTTTGGCGACTGCAAAACCGCTAAAGCCCTATACGACGCTGTCGTTGCTCGCTACTCCTCACCTGCCACAGCCGAGCTTAGCCGTCTCATGCTGCCTTACCTGTTCCCTGACCTGTCCACCTTTGCTACAGTCGCCGATCTTATCACCCACCTTCGCACTAGTGATGCTCGCCTGCGTGCCGCCCTTCCCACCGAGTTCTGCGCTAAGAACCCCCCTCCCCTGTACTGGGCACTCCACTTCATAGTCACCCGTCTCCCTGACACCCTCAGCTCAGTGCGCGACTATTTCCTTGCTCGCTGTCCCACTGAGCTCACTGTCGCCCTCCTAGAGGAGAAGCTGCTAGCAGCCGAGAAGAGCATTGTAGCTGTAGGTGCTGCTCGCGGCGCTCCTCGCACCCCCATCTTTGAGGGGTGTTCTCCCTCTCCCCTCGCTCCCTCCTACGCTACTGCTGCTGCTGTTGACTTCCTTGGTGCTGAGTCTGCTGGCGCTGCTTCTGCTCCTGGTGGGAGGCGCCGCACCGGCAAGGGCAAGGGGGGCAAGGGTGGCGGGGGTGGCGCTGGGGGGGGAGGGGGTGGGGGAGGTGGGGGGGGAGGCGGTGCTGGAGGGAGCGGTGGCGGGAGTGCCGGTGGGAGTGGGGCCGGCGGCGGAGGCGGGGGCGGCGGCGGGAGCAGTGGCGGTGGTGGCAGCGGCGGCAGTGGCGGCGGTGGCGGTAGTGGCGGTGGCGGTGGCGGTGGCGGTGGTGGCGGTCGGAGCGGAGGTAGTGGCGGCGGTGGAGGTCGGAGTGGAGGCACCGGCTCGGGCCAGAGCTCCCAGCAGCAGCAGCGTCCCCAGTCGACCCAGCAGCTTCGTGAGTGGCTTGCTCAGCGTGGGACGTCGGGGGGCAGTGGCCGCTGTTCCTATGTCATTCGCACAGGTGACCGCAAGGGGCAGACGTGTGGAAAGTTCCACACTCAGTACCGCTGCTTCTTCCGCCTTGACGACGCTTGGCGTGAGGAGATGGGCGAGGATGTTGAGCGCCCTCGCTGGGCTGAGCTGATGAGGGCTGGTGTTGATATCTTTGCTCTTGACTATGATGCTATTATTGCTGCCATGTATGCATTGACTGTTAGTGCCGAGGGAGACTGTTACTTGTGTGTGCCGCCTGACCCAGGTATAGGGCCCGCTGCCCTAGGTACTAGTGAGTCTGCTCTCTCTGGTATGGTGCCCCCTGTACCTGCTCCCTCCAGCACTGTCCCTGCTGCTTGCGAGTCTGCTCTCTCAGGTACAGCACCCACAGAGACTGCTCTCTCAGGTACTGCACCGGCTGAGACCTGTCACACCTTCACCCTTGACTCAGGTGCTTCCCGCTGTTTCTTTCGAGACAGTACTGAGCTCACACCGCTTCCTGCACCGGTCCCAGTCTCCTTGGCTGACCCCTCTGGGGGCCCAGTCCTTGCCCAGTCCACCACTGTCCTCCCTTGTCCGGCGGTTCCGTCTGGCTCGTTGACGGGTTTCCACCTCCCCTCGTTCTCGACGAACCTGGTGAGCAACGCTGTCATCCAGGATCAGTGGGTTGACACCTTTACCCCTGGAGGACAGCGTGTGGCGATCTGCACGTGCTCCAGGACCGGCCGTCACCTGGCTACGTTTACTCGTCGGCCGGGGTCGAGTCTCTACACACTGACCACTGCGTCTCCTCAGGTCGCTGCTGTCGGTCAGGTGTCCGCGTCAGGTCTGGTGGCCCACGCCTGTGAGTGTCGTTCCCTGTCGCACCAGACTCTTCTCTGGCACCACCGCCTGGGTCACCCCTCCTTGCCACGCCTCCGTGGCATGCACCGTCGCCGCCTTGTGTCTGGTCTTCCCAGGTCCCTCCCTCCTCTCCCTTCCTCGCCTGCGCTGCCTTGCCTTCCTTGCGTCGAGGGGCGGCAGCGCGCCGCTCCTCACTCCTCCTCGTTCCCCCCGACAGGGGCTCCTCTGCAGACCCTCCACCTGGACGTGTGGGGCCCAGCCCGCGTTCGTGGCCAGGGCGGTGAGCGGTACTTTTTGCTGGTTGTCGACGACTACTCGCGTTACACCACGGTCTTCCCCTTGCGCACCAAGGGTGAGGTCCCTGCTGTTTTGATCCCTTGGATCCGCACAGTTCGTCTCCAGCTCCGCCGCCGTTTCCAGACGGATCTTCCTGTCCTGCGTCTGCACTCTGACAGAGGTGGTGAGTTTTCCTCCGACCTCTTGAGGA